ATTCCAGTGCGATTTTGGCCCAATAGAATATGCAAACCACATCCAAACCTCAACATAACTGCACTGCAAATGAGATCAAAACTGGATTGCAGTAGTGTAAGCCTAGCTTTATAAAAGGCACTCCTCTGTACACACCCAGGAATAAAATAAAAGTTGGAACATGATTTGTTACTGTTGGTAACAACTTAAATTTGTATGCTTATTATTTTACTTAAGTATAATGAAACAGAAGTTTTCAACTGCACTTCTTTTCAGTGCAAGATATGGCCATTGATAAATATCATAGGACAACAGCAAATTCATCTGACTATAGTTTCCAGTAATGATAACTTAATCGGATATCTCTTTTGATATTACTCAGTAGTGATAGAAAGGTATATCTAAAATTAAGCAAACTATTTCCTGTTGTGCTTTATAAAAACAGAGAAAATACACTGCTCCAAAAAATTAAAGGAACATTTAAAGGACGTTGTCAGGCATGCATACAAGCACGTGGGGGCCATACAAACTACTGAGTACTATTTTGAGTTGTTGCTATTAAATTTCAGCAAAATGGCCTAGCCTGCTGCATAATTTTTTTCACTTTGATTTTGTCTTTGAATTCAGTCCTCTGTAGGCTGATCATTTTCATTTCCATCAAATGATGGGGCATCCTTACGTTCCTAACACAATACCCAGTCCATATCAGTATAGATATCCAGCATGATATCTTTCCCCATTGAGATCTGATGTATTTTCAAAGTGTTCCTTTAATTTTTTTAAGCAGTATATATATATATATATATATATATATATATATATATATTTATCCAGAGCGTATATGTTTCTTCAAGGTAGACACCATCCAAAAACATCTTTCTAGTTTTGTATAGAATTGTAACGCACACCACATACATTACAATCTGATGGTACAATCCTTTAGCTCCAACAACTATATAGGCCTGTTTAATTAGATACATCATGATTGGATAGTTTAGGAAGGTCCTCATATTGCATAGTTTGGAAAATTCTACAGTTGACCGTAGGGACAGATTGTAATGTGTTTGTTGCCCTAAGGCTTCATGCACACTGGTTTATTTTAAATGCCATTTCTCCTAACAGGAGAAAATCAGCATTAAAACTCACCTAAGCTGCATTGTTTCAAACCAGTTTAGGGGATTTAGCAGCATTTTGTGTTTGGGTGTTTATTTCATTTGCCAGAATTTTAATTTATTCCGGACATTGAAATAAATAAATACTGGAGTGTTAAACGCGCCTAGTGTTTAGGAACATTTGGCACTTTAAATGCCAGTAAACTCTTGTCCTGAATGCAGTTTCTGTGCTTTCAGAGAAATGCCAGTAAACTCAGCTGCCTGTAAACTCCTCTAGACAACTATGTTTCAGAACTTAGAACTTCAGAAAAAAAAGGCTCAACTGTTCCTAATCGTTTCACAGCTGCAGTTTACAAGAGGCCTTACAGCAGCACACCAGATAAGTGGTTAGCACTTCCACCTGGCAGCAATAGGGTCATCATTTTGAATCCCAACCAGGGCAATACTTGCCTGGAGTTTCCATGTTCTCCCTGTGCCAGCATAGGTTTCCTTTGGGTACTTTTTTTCCTCTCACACTCCAAAGACATGCTGGTAAGCTAATTGACTCCTGTCTAATTGGCCCTAGTATGTGTATGTATGAATGTGAGTTAGGGACACCTTAGATTGTAAGCTCCTTGAGGGTAGGGACTGATGTGAATGTACATTATACACTATATTGCCAAAAGTAATGGGACACCTGCCTGTACACGCACATGAACTTTAATGGTATCCCAGTCTTAGTACGTAGGGTTCAATATTGAGTTGGCCCACCCTTTGCAGCTATAACAGCTTCAACTCTTCTGGGAAGGCTATCCACAAGGCTTAGGAGTGTGTTTATGGAAATGTTTGACCATTCTTCCAGAAGCACATTTGTGAGGTCAGGTACTGATGTTGGACTAGAAGGCCTGGCTCGCAGTCTCCACTCTAATTCACCCCAAAGGTGTTCTATCGGGTTGAGGTCAGGATACTGTGCAGGCCAGTCAAGTCCCTCCACCCCAAACTTGCTCATCCATGTTTTTATGGACTTTGCTTTGTGCACTGTTGAGCAGTCATGTTGGAACAGGAAGGGGCCATCTCCAAACTGTTCCCACAAAGTTGGGAGCATGAAATTGTCCAAAATGTCTTGGTATGCTGTAGCCTTAGGAGTTCCCTTCACTGGAACTGGGGGGGCCAAGCCCAACCCCTGAAAAACAACCTCACACCATAATAATCCCCCCTCTACCAAACTTTATACTTGGCACAATGCAGTCAGGCAAGTACTGTTCTCCTGGCAAACGTCCAAACCAAGACACGTCCATCAGATTGCCAGACAGAGAAGTGTGATTCCTCACTCCAGAGAACACGTCTCCACTACTCTAGAGTCCAGTGGTGGCGTACTTTACACCACTGCATCTGACGCTTTGCATTGCACTTGGTGATGTAAGGCTTGGATGCAGCTGCTCGGCCATGAAAACCCATTCCATGAAGCTCTCTGCGCACTGTTGTTGTGCTAAACTGAAGGACACGCAAAGTTTGGTGGTCTTCAGCTATTGACTCTGCAGACAGTTGGTGACATCTGCACACTGCGCTGACCCTGCTCTGTCATTTTACATGGCCTATGTGCTGTTGTTCCCAGTTGCTTCCACTTTGTTATAATAGCACTAACTGTTGACCATAGAATATTTACTAGCAAGGAAATTTCACAGATGGACTTATTACACAGGTGGCAACCTATCACGGTACTATGCTTGAATTTACTGAGCGCCTGAGAGTGACCCATTCTTTCACAAATGTTTGTAGAAGCAGCCTGCATGTCTAGGTGCTTGATTGTATACACCGGTGGCAATGGAGGTGATTGGAACACCTGAATCCAATGATTTGGAGGGGTGTCCCAATACTTTTGGCAATATAGTTTATATGTAACGAGCTGCATAAATTGTCGGCGCTTTATAAGTACCTGTAATAACAGAACTTCTGACACTTTTTATTGCTGTCTGTGTCCCCATTGAAGACATTTGTCATACTTCACTTGCTTCACAGAGGTATGACAGGAAGTGAGAGTATATCTCCTCAAATCAGGGGAAACCTCAGATTAGACATCTGTCCCCGCAATGGTCCCCGCTCAACTCCTCTTCTGGTGACAGTTGTACATTTTTACATTTCCCATCACTTTATCTCCTTGTATCAGCAGTAATCAAGATAGAAAAAAGGAGTGAATCTACTCAGAGGACTCTAAGATAACATTAAGAAGATTACACGCTACCCAAAAGTAAAAAAAAAAAATAGGTTTTGGCTGGGATTTTATAATCTTTTTAAACAGAATGATATGAACACCGAGGTTAGCAAAAGTTTATGTAGAATTTTCACAATACAGTATTTATAACCCTCCAGTCGTAGGCTCTTCATACTGATTGGCTTGAAAAAATCTGACCTATCCAATCATTTTTTGTATTCTCATTTAAATCAATCCACAGAAATTGTAACTCAATAAATTGATGAGAAGGTGGGTGGGTGTTTGTACAGAGCGTCTCTTCCTGGGATAGTAATAGGCAAAAAAAAAAAAGTAAAAATGGACTTTATGTGGTGCTCAAGAATCCTCTACGCAACTTTATATTAAAAACCTACAGTGTTCTTTATTAGTGAAACATCATAGAAACATTGAAAATGTAAAAGAAGCTTCCTGTCTGGCTATCTCCTTGGAGCCCAAAATACAGAATGGAGCAGGCCAGATCTCATTTGGGGGTGCAGTAAAAAAAAATTCAGAGGGGCATACTGTTAACACTGTGTGTGAATCATTGACAGCCTGTCACAGATGCAGGGAACCAGCATTCCCTCGTTCACTTGGTGCTTCTGTACGACCCGGGAAGTAATGTCTGACTGGCAGTGCAGAAGCAATGCTGGGCTGAACAGGGAACACTAGTATGCATTAGCCTTTCATTAGACTACAATGAATTAAAAGAACATGTGCCCTGTATATGTCCCTACCAGCATCTTATTTTCCTCATCTGAGTGCCCTTTCTAATCAGCTGTCCTCATCAGATTGCCCGTTATATCAGATGCCCCAATCAGAGTGCCCCCTTACATCAATTGGCCCCCTCAGAGTGCCTCCTAAATCAACTGTCCCCATCAGAGTGCCCCCTTACATCAACTCTTCCCTTAACGTTACTAAACCCAGGATCCTTCATTCACTCTATCTGGTCTCCTACAGTACACAGAACATGGAAATGCAATTATTTTAGTAAATATAAACTGCTAAATATCTTTTCTCATCAGCAGTTAGAGCAGTCTTGTGACTTCTATCAGTGTCCAGCAGAGCACGTTAAAGCTTGTAGGAGTTTTCGTTTTGCTCTAGGAGCATGCAGAACCCTTGACCTCTGTCTGGACAGTGCTGATTGGTCCTGTGCTGATCGCATGCACTCTCCCAAGGAAAAAAAAAAACCTCTCTAGAAATACACACCAGACTGAGCATGTGCAGAGTGTCTTCACATGATATGTCTTATCAGGAGATAAGAGGGGGACACTGGAAGAAGGGGAGCATCAGAGAAGTCAGGATCAAACAGCATTTTTACACAATGCAGAGGATTAACCCCTTAGTGAGTATAACAAGCATGCTTTACTGCATTCATAGACTGATTTTACTGTTGTGGGTTTAGTAACAATATAAAGTGGTAGAAAAGTTAATGAGAAAACTAAACAAATGATCCCCCCTGCAGGTTTTAGCCATAATTTACTAGTATGCATTGCACACATTATGAGTGCTGCGCTCTGGCCGGCTCCTCAGCGCTTTTATGTCTTCCAGGTTTTGTATTTTCAGCCACTTGATTGACCAGGCTGGGGTGATGTCACTTCCGAGCATGTGTACAGGGCAGGGCCGACTGACAACTCATAGGGCCCCCGGGCAATAGCGGATCATGGGGCCCCTGTGTCCTTGCCCAAACTCAAAAAAGCCTATGGAAAAGGTACCAGGGGCATCTCCTGGGGCCCCCTACTGACCCCGGGCCCTCAAGCAGTGCCCGAGTTTCCAAATGGTCAGTCCGCCCCTGGTACAGGAGTCACATCGCTATGGCACAGAGAGCAGTCCATAAATGTGACCTGAGCTGTGCATGCAAGTGTACAATCCAAACGCACACGTTCCTGCGTTAAAAATGGCCGTGTGTATAAGTAGGTGCTGCAGCGACCGTCGGCTGGAACCGAACAGAATCGGCAAGGGAGAATGTCACCAGCACACCGAGGATCACTAATATGGGTCCAAAAGTTTTAACTCCCCTGGTGGTATTCCCGAGTGTAGCTCGGGGTAAAGTTTCAGTACCAGAAGCGGTAAACCTGAGCTACACTCTGGGTTACACTGCATTGCTCTGGGATCCCTCGAGCACTTACCTTGTAATATGGTCCTGCAATGCCCCCCCTGCAGCGTCCCTGGCCAGGTCCTCCGGCCAATGCCGGCATCTATCTTCTGAGTTCCGTTCCCTGTGAGCGTCGGGATGTACGAAGGGGGGAACCGCCGAGAATTTAAAATTTTAAATTTGACATTCACTCAATACACTAAAATCTGATAGTATTATATTACTATATCAAAGCATTTCACATACATTTTGTCCCTAGTGCTTTGTTCTGTGCCCTGCCTGCATTTTTACTGTTCTTTCTGCCTGAAACTGAGAAAAGTCCATGGCCTCCAAAAAGTGTCCCTTTAGGTCAAAAGCGGTTTCAGACCAGCTAGAGAACAGCGATAGTAAATTACAACCACTTGCAGAATTGAGTGATAATGATTTGTGGGGAAATTCATCATCAGACACTGAAAACGATTCTGCAACTAAGCTCAGGATGATGTGCGAACTTAGCACTCTATTTCAAATTTCAGTATTTTTGGTTTGATTACATTATTGAATTACATTTATTATTATTATATTATTATTTGTTTGATGATTATTTATTATATTATAATTTATGATTTCGTGTTTCAAATTTTATCATACCCGGGATGTTTACTAGACTCTTGTTCGGACAGATTTCAGTGAGTTATTCCTAAGAATTACAGGCCTACAATAAAAAAAACAAACAACATATTTCCATTGAAAACAATGTAACGCTTTGAGCACAGAAATACTGACATAATCAGACCAACAGGGAGGTTAATGAACGATCACATTGTTTGCAGCTCAGCAAGGGAGAATGTCACCAGCACACCGAGGATCACCAATATGGGTCCAAAAGTTTTTAATGAACGATCACATAGTTACAGCACGGCAACGTTTCGGAGCCTCGCAGGACCCCTTCATCAGGCATGTGACCAACACGTCACATGCCTGATGAAGGTGTCCTGCGAGAATCCGAAACGTTGCCTTGCTGTAACTATGTGATCGTTCATTAAAACTTTTGAACCCGTATTGGTGATCCTTGGTGTGCTGGTGACATTCTCCCTTGCTGAGCTGCACATGCACGGCTCAGATCACATTACTTGCTGTCAAACAGGGGGGGAGTTATGACAGAAGAGATCTCTATAGTCTTTTCTGTTATAAAAACCCTGACCGTCAGTGATTTTTCCATTTTAGACTTTACTAGCACTTTAAGAGTGCCCCTTTACATCAACTGTCCCCATCAGAGTGCCCCCTTCCATTAATTGTCCCCATCAGACTGGCTCATGGGTTGGTGCACTCTCATAGACCTGGGGGGACACAACTAAAATCTGGGGGGGGGCATGGCCCATCCCAGCACCCCCCTAGATCTGGGCCTGGAATGGAGAACAAGAAACTGAGTATATGAACATGATAATGATGTTTCAGTAATAAAGAATATTGTATGTTTTTAATAAAAAGTTGTCCACAGAAATAGCGATTATCACCTAAGCCAAAAGTGGCTGCGATAGGCGACAATCTTCAGTGTATGGGATTGGTAACACAAGCTGTTATTATTACCGTCAGCATACAAGCCAAGGTAATTGACCTTATATTTAACCTTGACATCATGGTCGTCATGTCTTCTCTGTGACTATATTCTGTATAAAAAAAAAAAAATACAGTCAAGAATTCGTCTTTCCACTCAAACTATGCTTAGCATTTCTATAAACCAGCACGTAAGTAGGAGCTGTTTCTTGTGACGTTATGAAGTAACTGGAAAGTTTGTCTTTAAATACCCATCTAGAGAAGCAGACATTACGCAGAGATGTTGTCTGACTAGAAGGCAGAGGATATACAAGCCATGCCTTCAAGTGTTAACATGTTCCATTCCTGACAGCACAGAGCTGCATGCTTGGTAAGGGAGATTACATTATGGCAAATCCCCCTGCGGAAAACTAATACTTCAATGAATGTGTATCTGTAGAGAAAATGAAACTGTATAGGACAGCAGGCAGCAGATATTCCATTTAAACTGGATAAATAATGATACAACAACACCAGGCTGGATAAAATAGGCCGCGACCATTTTATTATTGCTTTCAATGAAATATAACAAGTAAGCTCTTCCATAACTTTTATTTAAAAATATCCAAAGACTCAAAAACGGCTCAGCCACTACGGCTCAAGCCAGAATAATTGAATAACTTCAAATATCCATCATATGAATTCATATATAAACATAACTTTAATCATATCAAATTGAAAAGACAAAAACCAACCACTACAGTTCAAGTTTACTTAACCCCTTGGCGCCGGCGCCTCCCGGCCTTTTCAGGGTTCCAGAAGCTGGGAGGGGGGGTGGGGTTTTAGGGGCATGTGATCGCTGTGATTCGCTGTCACGGAGGTCACATGATCAGGAAAGGTCCCGATCGAAAGAGCAGATCGGGACCTTTCCATGAGTACCGAACGTGTGTGCTGGGAGAGTGCAGGGATGCACGCTCTCAGGACATATGTTTTTTTTTAATAGAACACAAATGTGCGGCTGCTCGGTGTCTAGGCCCAGACGCCGGGAGGCCGCGCATTTGCGTTCAGCTGGCACCAAGAGGTTAAGCAACTGTCCCCCTTTAACTGCTTGCCCCCGCCGCCCTATAGCAGAAATACTGCCACAGGGCGGCACGGCTGTGCAAAATCACGTATATATACATGATCTTGCATTTCCGGGTAGGGGGTGCAGGTGCCCTACCCACGCCATCATTGACGGCTTCAGCTGTCGATCGCCGGGTCCTGGCTGGTGATTCCCCCACCACCACCCAGCGATGGGCAAGTATCACTGACAGGGGAGAGGTCTGTATGTAAACAATACAGATCTCTCCCCTGTCAGCTCCAGCACATTGCTTTGTATTACTCTGCATAGCACAGACATGCAAAGCAATGTGCTTACACTGTAAAAACACACACACCCCAGATTGTAAACTCTAACATGCAGGGCCCTCTGTTTCCTCTTGTACCAAATTGTAATGTAACTGTAATGTCTGCCTTCATTTTGTAAAGCGCTGAGCAAACTGTTGGCGCTATATAAATCCTGTATAATAATAATAATAACACAGCACAAAGTAAAACAGCACACAGTTAACCCTTTGATCGCCCCAGATGTTAACCCCTTCCTGCCCAGTGCCCTTAGTACAGTGTCAGTGGTTTTTATTAGCACTGATCACTGTATTAGGGTTCATGTACACGGGGCTTTTGGAAAACTCTTCTGGACGATAGAAACTGACTGCTGGAAAACGTAGGTTAAAAAAGTCAGTTTAGCCACATTTGCATACCGCATTTATGTGCGTTTGTGTTCAGAAGTGTTTTTAAAAGATAACCTCAGGAGACCATCCCAAATGCCCAGAATGCACTGAAAAATAGTAAAACATTAACTATTTCAGACATTTTGAGAGAAATAGCGAGAGCAGAAGCAGAGAGAGCAGTATGTGTTGAGATTCCATGTCTTTTCTGGTTGTATTCACTATGGATCCCATCATGAGCATAATGCAGTGCGTTCTACCATTTTTTTCCTTCACACGAAACCTGGAACTGACTGTGCTGTGTACCAGGTCCATTTGAATACATGGAAAACGCTTTGCATGCATTTCTGATGATGAAAAAAGGCTCTGGACAGCATCTGGACATGGGACAGTTAAAAAACGCTTATAAACGCAGTTAACCGCTTTTACACACGTTTTCAAGCGTTTCAAACGCCAGTAAAATCTACTCTTGAACGCAAGTTTGGTGCATTCAAAAAAACTACTGTAAACTCAACTGCCTGTAAACGACTGTAAACAACTATGTGTACATGGACACAGGAAAACATTAGGGAGAGTTTAGGGGCTGCTGAAAAAAAAACACTGCACAGCTGCTGAATGTCAGTTTAGAAGTTGCAGTGTACATGAGCCCTAAGGGTCACTGGAGATGTCACTAATGCAGGCCATAGATGGGTCGAAAACCGTCCGTTTTACAAAAAAACGAAAAATCATTGTTCAATAGGCCGACGTTACCACCAACGGTAAAAAATCTTCTTCTCCTTCTTTTTCTTCTTCTTTCTTTTTTTCTTTTTCTTCTTCTTTCTTTTTCTTCTTCTTTTTCTTGCAGGTCACAGCTAATGCGCTGATTTTTTATCGGTAAAAAGATCGGCCAATTTGCCCATCATTGCCTCGAAAATCGGCCGATCGGCAAAATCGGCGGATTTTTTTCCAACTTTACCAATCAAAAAATGTGCCAAAATCCAGAAAAACGGCCAACCAATTAACCCATTAACAGTGCGAAAATCGGCCAATTTTTTTTTTTTCGGCCAAAAAATCAGCTGATTTTCGACCAATCTATGGCCTGCATAACAGTTAGTCAGTTCCCCTCCAGTGCCAGAATGCCTGCCACAGTCCAGCAGCCCCGCTATAAGTTGCTGATCACTGCCATTATTAGTATTAAAAAAAAAAAATTCCAGTATATATTCCTCAGTTTCAGGCGCCTCAGAAGGCATATAGTCGGTGGTGCTTCCTCCCACCCTTCCGTGATGTCACGGCCATTTATTATGTGGTAGTGTCACCTTTAATGATTAACCACTTGCCCTCCAGAGGATTTACCCCCCTTCATAACCAGGTAATTCTCTGCGAAACAGCACTGCGTTATTTTAACTGACAATTGTGCGGTCATGCAACGCTGCACCCAAATGAAATTTGTGTCCTTTTTTCCCACAAATGGTGCTTTCTTTTGGTGGTATCTGCATCTTTTATTTTTTGGGCTATAAACAAAAAATACCCACAATTTTGAGGATTAAAACAATATTTTTAGACTTTCTGCTATTAATAAAATGTAAAAAATTGAATTATGTCATAAATTTAGGCCAAAATGTATTCTGCTACACATCTTTTCTAAAAAAAAAATCCCA